TTAATTCTAAAATAGCAAGAAATGTAATAGAAGCTCTGAAAGACATCATGAGACACTTAAACTACTCTATAGAGTTCTATCTTCCCAAAGTGTTTAATACCACTAAAATGTGGTGCGTTTAAGGAAGCTTCCCCACCCCTCTACTAATGACCTCCATGATCTGCTTGTATTGCTAAGCATAGCTGCCTTTCTTTTCTACACTTTGTCAATGTAACAGTTTTCTTTGAGAATTCTCAATGTATTGAGAAGTAACCATTAAAAATGTTTTATGTTTTTACAGAAATTGCCTCAGCAGCTATGCTGTGTTGAACTGCCATTTCCCAATGCGTAGCTACTCCTTTAACAGTCTTTAACAATCGTTTAAACTGGTATCATCATTGTGGGTCATATTTGGCTAATAAAAACTCATTCTAGTATTTAAGACCAAGAAAAGTCAAGGCAATGTACGTTTCCTCCACCACTTCTGGAGCTCTATGACCATGAATTCCATCTAATTCAGAGTCTCATTTGTCCAAGAAATGTTTCACAATGGCCTATTTAAAACCATCAATATAGGGAGGCTGAGGCAGGAGGATCGCTTCAGCTCAGAAGTTTGAGATCGCCTGGGCAACATGGCAAGATCCTATCTCTATTTAAAAAAATTTACATTCACTGGACATGGTGAATGTAATATGCCTGTAGTCGCAGCTACTCAGGAGACTGAGGTAGGAGGATCACTTGGACCTGGGAGGTCAAGGCTGCAGTGAGCAATGATTGCACCACTGCACTCCAGCCTGGGTGACAGAGTGAGACCCTGTCTCAAAAAACCCCACCAAACCCATCAGTATGGTACCTATATTAGTTAGGGTTCTCTAGAGGAACGGAACTAGTAGGATATCTATCTATCTATCTATCTGGGAGTTTATTAAGGAGTATTAACTCACACAATCACAAAGTGTACAATAGGCTGTCTGCAAAGTGAGGAGCAAGGAAGCTATTCTGAGTCCCAAAGCTGAAGAACTTGGAGTCTGATGTTCAAGGGCAGGAAGCATCCAGCGCAGGAGAAAAATGTAGGCTAGGAGGCTAAGCCAGTCTAGCCTTTTTATCTTGTTCTGCCTGCTTTTTATTCTGACCATGGTGGCAGCTGATTTGCTTGTGCCTGCCTAGATTAAGGGTGGATCTGCCTTTTTCAGCCTACTGACTCAAATGTGAATCTCCTTTGGCAACACCCTCACAGACACACCCAGGATCAATACTTTGCATCCTTCAATCCAATCAAGTTGACACAGTATTAATCATCACAGTACCTAAATTATATTTATAAAATACAAAAATGCAGCAAATTATATAGAGTAAATACAATATGAAAATATTCATCATGACTGTACATAATAAAATAGATATTTTTGTGTATAAAAAACATCTGGACATAGCAGCTGAGAATAAAGACTGACATATATATCAAGCCCATGGCTACAATGAGTGATATGATTTTCTGAAAGAGAAAAAAATTATTGGTGCATGGTCTTCCTTTTATTATATGCATTATTGTAAAAAGTATAATAACCATGAAAAATATTTTGTTTCTACGTAAAATAGAGTTTCAAGATTCAAAGAACTGTAAGTACGGTTTTTGCCTATGTGGAAGTCTGACATTATATTTGACAGTCATGCTGAATGTGTCACATTTCATCTTATGCAGCAAGATCCCGGAAAACGCAATATATCTGACCTTCCTTATCCATACCTACAAAAACGACAGAATACCTTTATAAACAAGCTGATATATTTTCATAAGGACCCCTAGGGGGCAGTATTGCCCCCATTGAGAACCAGGGATCTGTGAATTGGCTACAGCTCTGAAATAACTCCCCCACTCCTGCCGTCTTCTCTTTTATTGGCCCTTCAATACTCTGATGGTAGTGCAGGGTGGATGAAGAAGTGAAAGGGCAAACATCTTTTTACCTGGGGTATGGTTTCCCCTGGGGCTGGCTGTAATAGCAATCTTAGCTTGTTTGGCTATAGGTCTTCAGTCTTCCCCTTAAATTTTGACTAAAGGTGGGGTGGGGATGGTTGGCAAAAGGGTCAATAATCTGATCTAGTCTATTAGGACTTTTTGTGGAGAGGTTGACCAACCTGAAAGCTTAGAATATGAGAGGCAGCCTTAATGCTATTTGTCATCAACTCTGGACTTTCTATGTCATTCTGGGGTATGAAGAAACAAATCCACTCCTTTATACTAGTTTGAGAGAGATGTGCTGGAATGAAAAACACCCCATCTCAGAAAACAAACGCCTGTGTTGTAACCCCAGCTCAACTGCCTCTCATTGTGTAATTTTGGGCATTCAAACTCACTGGAATGCCTTTGCTGCATCTGCAAAATGGAATAGGGGGTAAAGTAGATGATATTATATTTGAATTATTTGGACCATTGACTTCAATAGAACACTAAACATTTGGAATCTCCATGCAGATAATATTCACTGTCCTTCTTTGTGTACTTGAAATAAATAAAAATTTTGATCCCCACTCTGATTTTTTCATGTGAGACCCATGCCATCAAATCTGGTAAGAATTCTAGAATATTCTAATAATATATTTGCTTTAAACAAAGTGATTTTAATGTTTAATATTATTGAGCATGGTGAATCACAGCATTTTAGAGTTAAGAAATTACGATAGGGCAAGAGGAAAAGTTAGCAAAAAGTGGTTTCAGAAGTCTAGCATCATTCTAAACCCATAGAAAGCTCTGGAAGTTTCACAATTGCAACAAAGTTTTTCAGCCCAGAAGCAAGGGGGTTAGGCTGATAGAACCCCACATCAGCCAGACTTTTGCTCCAAGGCAACCTTAGGGGTCAGACGGGAGAGCATAATCTCCCAGGCATCACCAGGAGAAGTGTTGCCCATCAGCCAAGAGCCAACATGTGCAAAAAGTTTACCCTTGATAGTCAACACCTGCAGCTGCTGCAGACTAGGTATCTTACCCTGGAAAAAAAGGAAAGCTGAGCAGAGCAACCGTAGCATCTGCAATGCATGATATCAAAGGAGCCAAATTATGTACACATGATCTCCTTTAAGCTTATCAATAATATTACCTATCTCCTTTAATAGTACCTATAAGATCACCTATATTATATGACAAGGGCCATATATGAAAGTACGGTTTGAAATTCTAGAAGTACAACAGAGTGAATAACACCAGCTAACACGTGCGAGTGCTTGCTCTGTACTACATGCTGTTACAAAGTCCTTACCTATGTTACCCCCATTTAATCCTCTCAGCAAATTTACAAGGTAGGTAATATTATTGCCCCTATTTCCCTGTAAACTAAGGCACAGACAGGTTAAGTAACTTGATCAGGATCTTACAGCTAGCAAGCACCAGTAAATGGTTGTTTTGTTGGCAAGTATGTGAGAGGGCTTCCTGGAGTACAGAAAATGAAATTCTAAACCCTACCCAAGATCTACTAAATTAGAATGTCTAAGGTTGGACTCATAGCTTTAATGAGTTTCCTTAAGTGATTCCTGCACACACTGAAGTGTGAAGAACCATTATCTAGAGGAATTAAAAGTTTTCCAAAATGAAGAAAAGTTGTGCAAAGAACAATGTCAAAAGGTAAAAATGATCATCAAAAATATGAACTTTTATATTTAGTCTAAAGGAGTGGGAAGGAAATTGAGATTAAAATTTGGGCTCCCAAATACAAAACAGGATTATACAGGAAGAAATAACCTTTCTATAGTCATACTGTTTCTTAAAGAACAGAATAGCAAAAATAAAAACATAGGAAACATTGGGTTCAGATACCTGTAGTGTATTATTTTCTACCTCTAGAAAATAGTTGACCTATGTAGGCATTTGTCCCTTAAAAATATCTTAAAGTACAACTTATCCAGAGAAGAACAGGGTATTATAAGACTGGAAAGGGAAAGAATCTTTCTTCAAAGGTTTTGGAAATGAAAACACCATCTAAATACAAGGAAATAAGTTAATTGCTGATATATTACTAGCAGAATATTTTCATGTAGATGTACAATGTTATGTTCTCTGAAATAGTGTGTGATCTGAATATGCTTACTTTTACAATCATACTTCATTGTAAAAATTGGACTAGGGAGAAGAGGGAGACACTATAGGCACAATGCCACTTGGCTACATTGAAATCTTTCCCAGGTAATTTCACAGGAATATCATCAGCTACTGAGCCTTTTTCCCAATTACCCACTGGTCTAACTGGGGAGAAGAGGAATTGTGAGGAGGGCAGAGGAGTCTGTTCTTCTAGTAGGATGTCTATTGGTAGATCACACTTGCTATGTCCCCTTTAACCTGCTAAATTTGCTCATTGTTGTTACTAGATTCATTGTGACAGTTACAGGCAAATTCCAGGTGTTGTCACAAAAACACTTCTAAGTAATACATTCATTTATTTCTGATTAAGAAGTCTGTTTGTTTACTATATTTCCATTTGATGGGTACAAATTTCAATCCACTGTTTATAATGAACTTATAGTGATACTTTTTATGTGGTTCCCTTTTAATACCAGATTAAATACTCTAGAGATTTAGGGAATTAGTGGACAGTCCTCCAAATGACCTCAAACTAAGTTAAATGACATAAAACATGTGGTTGAAGGGTTTTGGAATTGAAGGTAAGGATTGGAAACCCCAAATTTTACACTGTACGAAAGCCCAGGGGCGAGGAGCAGCTTTAAGTATTTTAAATTATATGCTGTCTAAACCCACCCCTCCGGACAAACCTACTGACAGGTGTCTAGGGTCAAATGCCTGACTTAATCATATTAGTGAAGATTAGGAAGAAGCTTTAAAATCCCAAGGCTAGTGTGCACTGCCAGAATTGTTAAGAGAGAGAGCTCATGAGAAATTGGTTATCGTGGAATATTTAAAATAAAACAAAGAACAGTTTACTTTGTAAGTTAAGAGCTGAGTGAAGTGTTGGCTAAGACTGACTTGAAATAACTCCAGCAATTCATGCGTAGGTGCTAACCTTCTACATTTTCAGCAGGCCAAAAGATGCCAGTAATCAATATTGAGGACCTGACAGAGAAGGACAAATTAAAGATGGAAGTTGACCAGCTCAAGAAAGAAGTGACACTGGAAAGAATGCTAGTAAGTTACTGCTTTCTTTAGAATTTTATTTTAAGCTAGAGATACTGTGGGAATACCAGGTTAGAAAATATTGACTGAAAAGGCTCAATGTAGTTATAACTAAATTGTTCATATAAAAATTATCAAAGATTAAGAAAATTAATAATAAATCACAATCATCTCTTGATTTAGATTCTAAATCAAGGATGTTGGTGAACAATTTTTTTTTAATGGCCAAACCCAATCCATAGCTTCTTTTTGTGTGTGCACTAAGATGGGAATGCTCTTATATTTTTAAGGACTTGTAAAAAAAAAAAAAAAGAGCAAGAAAGAAAAGAAAAACGAAGAGAGAAAGTGGAGAATATGAAACAGAAACCGTATGTTAGCTAAGCAGTAAAATGAATATACACATGCAATACATACAGGCATTTTGTTTTTACTTTTCTAAACCTCTCTTTGTAATGCAATATTTTGATATTGATATTTTGATAGAATGTTTTGATATTGCTGCAATACTTTAAGCTATGATTTCATCCCTTCCTGCACTGTTATGGTCAGTAATAAATGAGTACATTCTACTCTTCTTTGGTAAATTAGGATGAGTTCAAACATAAGTACTTACTGGTTTCTCCTAAAAACATCTGACAAATCTTGGAAAGGGTTACCTACAGTTCACTGCCAGTAGAAGGAGCAGAAATGGCAAAGGGATAAACTACTGAACAAACCAGTGACTGACAAAAGCTTGGAGAACGTGGATATGTATTTTAGATCTCTTCATTTTAGGAAAGTTATTAATAGTAGAGTAAAACCTCCACAAGTGGTAACAGCATATCTTACATTTTAAAAACATCTCATTTTATCAGGACAAAGTAAAAAAGGAGTTTGTGTTATCTTCATACCTTGTTCAAAATGCCTACTCCCAGTCAGAACTGGGATTTTTGGCTTCATCTATGTTTATAATAATCTCAAACTCCCCTGTTGCTCTTTCCATACAGGCAAAACATGTTTTGCTGTAAAGATAAAATTAAATCTAAAGCTTAGAACGTACACCAAACAAGTTAAAGTCCTTATTTTTACAATTCAGGGTAAATAAACTTTTGGGGTAAAGAAAAGTTTTCTCTTTTTAAGTAGAAATATCCAATTTTACTTTTTATTATCAGGATTGCTGGTTTGTAGGCAAAGTGGCTGTCTTCATGTTTATTATTCACTTGTGGTAAGTTCACCTTGGACTCTTTATTTTGGGTAAATATCACATACATCACCATTCATCAGGCTTTGGAGTTCCTTTTCCCTAGTATTCAGTGTCTCTCTTTTCTTGGAAATCAAAGCAATTTAATAGCAGACTGCAAAAACTCCATATATACATACACAAACACATACATATATATATATATACACACACACACACACACACACACACACACACACACACACACATACGTATACATGTACTCTCTTAGTCTGTTCAGGCTGCTGTACCAGAATACCATTGACTGGGTGTCTTATAACCAACAGAAATGTATTTCTCACAGTTCTGGAAGCTGGGTCATAAAAGATCAAGGCACCAGCAGATTCCTTGTCTAGCCAGGGCCTGATCCCTCCTTCATGAACACCTGTCTTTTCACTTTGTCCTCACCTGGTGAAAGGGGTGAGGAAGCTCTCTGGGGTCTCTTTATAAGGACAGTAATCCTGTTTATGAGAGCTCTGTCTTCATCACCTAATCACCTACCAAAAACCTCACCTTGGGGGTTAGGAATTCAACAAATGAATTTGTGGAGGACACAAATATTCAACTTGTTTATATATATATACACACACACACACACACACACACACACACACACACATATATACACAAATATATACACACACATATATACATATATACACATATATATGCATATATACACACACATATATACATATGTATATACACATATATGTGTATCAGGTTGAATATTTGTGTCCTCCAAAATAAATATTATATATATGTAGAAATATATGTAATATATAGAAATATTTATATAATATATAATAAATATACGTATTCTATTTAAAACGGAACTACCAGGTCCTGATCCCCTAGCTCTGATGTACAATCAGTACAGTATGGTTAAGTGGATATACTCAGTATGGGTAAGTGGTTAAGTGGATGATCCGTACAGTATGGTTAATTGGATATACTCTGAAACCATATTCCCTGCTCAGATTCTTGCTCCACAACAACTTTCTGCCTGTGTAACCCTTATCTATGTTTTATAATTTACCTGTGCCTCTGTTTCTTCAAAACAGCAGTAGTAATAGCTTCTAATTCAGAGGACGATTGGGAGGAATGAACAAGATAATATATGCAAAGCTCTGAGAACAATGCCTAGTAATAGCAGGTGCATTATGTCGTTATATTATTATCGATTTTATGAATGAGACTGATTCATATTATACTTCAATCAATTTTTTTTAGTAAGACAAGTCTTTGCATCCAGTTTCTAAAGCTGACAGATTTGCAATGCCTATAAGTCAATGTAATAGGCAATGACTATAGACAATCTTTGTAGTAATAGCTAAAAATTGCTACCATTTGATTATGCATCTTTTTGTGCCAGGCACCTGTTAGGCATTTAAGGCAACCAATGCAGCTATTCCTATTTTATACATGAAGTAAATGAACCTTAGATGAACTGCCTTAACTTAGGCTCTATAGCTAGTAAATGAGAAGAGCCTTGTAATCCTGTATTAAACTACATACATTTCTAATAAGCCTCATTGAAATAATTTTTAAACCTATACACATGTAGAATTTTAGGTTGTTTGTTCCTCCCATTCTCATATCCTCAGATCCTAGCCAGGCACTGTCAAAACCAACCCTTCACTGACTACTGAATTAAGGATAGCAATTTATACCTCTGTTCCTGTCACCTGGGTGGAGCCAAAAGTAGTGGCTTTTGGAGGAGAGTGTGGGACCATTGAGGAAGAGGGAAAAAAAAGTGAATCTAAATTAATGCATATGTCAAAAGTTTTGTAAATCTGCAAGTATCATCCTTTGAAGGAAGAACCTAATCTAACAAATGCTTCCTTGCCAGAGTTGAAAATAATTTGTTCTAATATGTAGATAATGAGTTTGCATAGTTGTAAAATAATCTTAAGTCTTATATCAAATGTTCCTTTGAATTTACATACAAAGTGACAGAAAGATTTCATTTGGAAAACCAGTAAAATGGTGAAATAACGTATGGAATGGCCACTTAATAGACTGACAAAAATGAAGTAGCTCGGTATTATTGTAATGAAAGATACACTAATTGAAAACAAAACAAGTTGACGCTAAAAGAGTTTGAATAATTTGATTTTTGTGTGTGTGTGTGTGTGTGTGTGTGTGTGTGTGTGTGTGTGTATTTACATATGTATTGAACACCACCTCTCTCTAGAAGGAATGTTAAGTGGGACATTAACAGGCTCTAGCTGAGTCCATTAAAATGTTAAGACCTGATTTTTTACTAAATCATTACTATAATGGTGCAGATAAGTGAAGAGCAAGCTCGTAAACAAAATGAATAATTCAGTCCAGCAAATTATTCACTGAGCACTAAAGAACACAGGCTCTGTTCTAGATGCCTGAGATACATTGAACAAATCCCTGATCCCTTGGAGCTCACCTAGTGTACCGCCATGATCAATCATTGTAGATGAGTGTGAAGTAAAATTACATGTGTCTACTTCTGAGAATTCAGAGATGATGATAAGCCTGGAATTTAATAATTATTCATTACTTCCACTTTTACAAGTCACATGTTTGGAATGAGGAAAAAGATTTAATCAACATGAACTCTGGTGACACCCTTGACTTCTGTTGCCAGCTGTGTTCTGATCCCTGGGTCTTGTCTCTTTTGAAGTTGGAGGCAGTGTCTGTTGGGAATCTTTAGCTGGAGCATGGCCAGCTATTTTTCCTTTGTCTGGAGATATATCCAGGAGGACTGGGAAGGGAGCAACTTTCTTCTTTCCTACAAAGTACATGCATTGGCAGAAAGCAGAGAGAATCATACAGAAAATATACAACATGAAAATTTATTGTAATAAATAATTACTGGCATCTGGAGTATTCTGCTTTAAACTAAATGAGTCATCCCTTTTTCTTACCCCTAAAGGTATCCAAATGTTGTGAAGAAGTAAGAGATTACATTGAAGAACGATCTGGCGAGGATCCACTGGTAAAGGGGGTCCCAGAGGAAAAAAATCCCTTCAAGGAGCTCAAAGGAGGTTGCGTGATTTCATAATACAAAAAAAAAAAAAAATCCTCGGGAATATCTCAAATGTTAATGACAATTATGGATTTTTCTCATATGTGATACTATTACTAAGCACGTATATGATTTTTAAATTTATAGATGCAAGCTTTTAATAAAAATTGGGATGAGGTAACCCATCAGTCTATGTTTTTCTTAACATATGTGGCACAGGGTTTAATATATAATTGACAATAAATATTGCTTAACTTTCTTTAAAAAGAATTACTATGTTTTATGAATGAGTCTGTATTATTCTAAGTTGTCAGCATGTATTTACTGTTTTATGTTTTTTCACTTCCCTTTCAACATTTATAGCTTTCTACCCAGAAATTTTATGGTTAGACTTCTATTTTTCTTCCCAACCTTTCTCTTGCTTACGAATTAGGAAGCTTATTCCTCTGATACACAGGTCACCTATCTTATGACTTTTCCTCAGAATGCCAACTGGCTTAAGGGTTCAGCCTATGGTCACAGAGCACAGTGAATTTAACCACACCAGAATCATGGTTATGAGCGTGCATTTAGGAGACAGACAGTTCTGGCTCTGCCACTTTACTGCCTAACTGACTTTGGATAAGCTACTTAATTCTTTCTAAATTTGTTTCTTCTAGCATAGGATGAAGAAAATAATGGTTGTATCTTCAGTTTTGTATGGGGGTTAAATAGTACACTAAAGCAACTATAACAGCTAATTACCTGGCCCATGGTAAGATACAATAGGTGTTAACTAGTATTATTACTGAGAAAGGATCTAGACAAAATTTCCAAAATCCTTTAAGATACATGCTATTTTGCCCTATCCTCATGAAGAGTCTCAACAACACAGTCTTTTCTATAACAAGGTGAGCACACATGATAGAGAAATCGCCATCACCTACATCAGGTCCTTCTGGCATCCAGAAGTTTGCATGAGTCACATTTCACTACCTGTGTGTTAATGACTAAGAGATAACTTGCCTGTAACAAATGACAAGTTGTAGTCACCCAAATCAGAACCACTTTTGTTGTCAGTGTTTTCTTGTTGCTGTCTCACAGTGTTATTTTATATACTTCAATGATCAGAATACTCACAAATACTAATTGTCATCCTCTATAAAAACATTTTTTAGAGGATTTTTGAAATCCTCTAAAAAAAAACATTAAGATAATCTATTACTTGGTCTGGAAGGGAGTCTGAAAGTTGTACCAACTTTGGCTCCTAGCACAGTGCCCTCCAACTCTGACCATCATAAATGCTCAACAAATATTTGTTGACTCTTGTCTAACCCCTTCATTTTGAAATGGAGAAAATAAAGTTTCAGAGAAGTGACCTGACACATTTCTCCAGTCAAGACTCTGGACTTCTGGCTGAACAGTTAGCAACATACCCCACCATGTGTCTTCATCAAATCTGCTTTGAGTATTAAGGGATTCCTGGATTAGTTACTGAATCTCTTATCTATTTTTCCTCAGGAAAAGCTTTTTTTCCTCCTATTTAAATTTACAAAACCATCTCCATACAGCTCCCCCAACCTCTACCAAATGCATCCTGTCTCTCTCTCCCACTCTGTTTTCCTCCATAGCACTGTCACCATCTGGCATACTACAATTTATTTGTTTATTTAATTGTGGTCTGTCTCTAGAAGTTTTCCATCTGCAAGTTAGTATTTATTGAAGTGTTCCATATATCCCCTCTTCTCTGATTAAAATAAATACAAAGTAAGTATTTGCTATGGCATTCAGTAACATGTAGAATATGGTCGTAACCAACATCTCTAGCTTTCAGTTTACAACTTGAGACAGATTTTGAAGCCCAACAATGTTATGTTAAAACCTCGACTCTTCTTCCTTGCAGTTGAGAACTTTGGACAAATGACTTCAGCTCTTTGAACCTACTTTTTTCCTTTCAAAAGGAAAGTACAAAATTAGTGATTAGGATAGATTATCTGAAATCTTATAATCCCTCAGATCAGAAATGAGTACATTGAAAGTAGCCTAATAAATATCCACTATAATTATTATACTTCCTGTGGACAACATTTTCCCACAAGCTGGAATTTGGTCACACTGATCCCTCCACCTGAAATCTCCCTCCATTCCACCCCATTTCAGCCTTTTGAAATCCTGCTCTTCTTATAAGACTGTCTCTCCCATTCTACCTCAAGAGTATTTTGTGTATCTCTTAATTCATTTAACATTACTTTACTTTCTCTTATTGTAATTTCTATGGTTGTCTTAATTTCAGTGCTATATTGGAAATTTCCTAAGCCAGAAGCACTGTTCATCTTTGTAACTGTCATATCAACTAACAAATTGTCTGTACAATGTAAACAGTAGAGTACAATTCCTGTTGCTTAAAACACAGATCGTCAGCAGGTTTTGAATAAAAGAGAAATCAGAGGAAGGAAGTATAGAGAAAGATAGTCCAGGAAGGTGGAAATGAAGTCATGACTGTCCCACAGGCTACTGAGCTATAACTGTCAGTGTTTGCTCAGAATTTGTTATTTCAAGGCCGGGGTAACGAGATTAAAGAGGATGAAGTAAGACTACAAGGCAACAAAAACCACTCCCAACACAACCTTAACATATGACTCTTTAACAAAATTTTCTGGTGTCATTAATGAGAATTAGCTATTATAGATTCTACAATATATCATTTGAGCTACTTGGACTTTAAAGGTACTTTGCACACACAGGTGGGTGTAAGCTTTAGTAGGAAAAAAAAAAAAAAAAGAAAAGAAAACACCTTACTGTTATTTTAATTTTGACTGGTTTTATTTTAGCCAGATTTTAAAACCAAGCTAATATCAAACTTCCTAAATTCCTAAATAAAGTGTTAACATAAGGAAAATAGTAAACTCAGTAATGAGAATGATCAATTATATATAATGGAAGTTAAAGTTGTGTAGAAACAAAATTGGTAAGAGAAATCATTTTTAAATTTTTTTTTTTATTTTTTATTTTATTCGTTTGAGACAGAGCCTCGTTCTCTCGCCCAGGCTGGAGTGCAGTGGCGCAATCTCAACCCACTGCAACCTCTAGCTCCTGGGTTCAAACAATTCTGTACCACCACACCCTACTAATTCTTTTGTGTTTTTAGTAGAGAAGGGGTTTTGCCATGTCGGCCAGGCTGGTCTCCAACTCGTGACCTCAAATGATCCTCCCACGTTAACCTCCCAAAGTGCTGGGATTACAGATGTGAGCCACCATGCCTGGCCGGAGAAATTATTTTGATATCATGAATTATAAGTAGTTGCTAAAATACTCAGAGCATCAGGCATAGATCATCCTTTGACTTGGCATTCTCTTCATCTAGAAAAGGAATCTTAAGGCCAGTGTAGTGGCTCATGCCTATAATCCCAGCATTTTGGGAGGCCTAGGTTGGAGGATTTCCTGAGGTCAGGAGTTCGAGATCAGCTTGGCCAACACCGTGAAACCCTGTCTCTACTTAAAAAAAAAAAAGAAAAATAGCTGGACATGGTGGCTCTCACTTGTAATCCCAGCTACTTGGGAGGCTGAGCCAGGAGAATCACTTGAACCCAGGAGGTGGGCAGAGGTGGCAGTGAGCTGAGATTGCACCATGGCACTCCATCCTGGGCAAAAAGAGCAAATCTCCATCTCAAAAAAAAAAAAAAAAAAAAAAATGTAGGTAGGTAGTTACAGGCAACAAATGAGCTCCTAAAAATTGCCTCGTGATTGTTTTAACAGATATCAAATATCAAATGAACCAAGAGCGTGTAAAATGTGTATTAAATACTTTCTTTAAAGAAACCATCATTTCAATGGCCTAACAGTCACCATGCACTTTTAAATTTTTGTTGTTGTTGTTGTTGTTTGTTTTATAGAGACGGGGTCTCATTATGCTGTCTAGGCTGTTTTCAAACTCCTGAACCTTTGGTCTCACGTGATTCTCCTGCCTCGGCCTCTAAAAGTCACTCTATAAATTTTAGAAGAGCAGAATTTGAAAGGTAACCTAGTTTACTTATACCAAATAAAGAAGCAGAAAGAATGTGTTTCTTGCAAAAGTCACAAGATAAAATAAGGCCAGAATCCTGGTCTTTTTTTAGTTCAAGTTAGTATTAAATCAATTCCAGTTTAACTGCCTTCAATGTTTATTTTTATTTATATAGATTTTTAACAACATAATAAATTAGAAAAATTATCAAAAGCTTGTTTTTCCTATTTTTGCATACCAAAGTAAAAATTTCATGGTTGTTATTCTTTTATAATTTAAAAGTGAAAATGGTTACTTTTATTTTTATCGACTAATTTCTACGAACCTGTGAAAAGATAGTGGGCTAATTCATAAAAGTTCATCTCTGGTTGCACCTGGCATTTTACTAAAGATTGGTTTCTACCCATACTACTTGTAAAATAACTTTTATTGCAATAATATGCAAAGTGTAAGTAAAAACAAAACATTTGGACATGGATAAACAACTTTTAAAATTTATTCAAAACTTTTGAATATTGCTGATAGGCTATTTCTGCAAGTATACATGAGAAATTGCTTAACATGGTTCTTCTCTGGAAGGTAAATTCAGTGTTCAGGCAAGGAGACTATACATCCTTTTGTTTAAAAGAAAGTGTTCTCATTATTTTACTATTTAAAATCCAACAGCAACAACAAACCTTTTTCAGAATGCTGTGTGATCATGCAATGTCAATATTTCGCAATTCACTTTAATCAATTTACTTAAGATATTAGAATATAAATTATTTAATAACAATAAAAAAAGAAGACTAATAAGTATTTTGTCTCTAATATATCTCATAATATGATGGGAAAAGTTAAAGAACCAGTATGGGCTTATAAATATTTATCCCTCTATGCAACTTGATGATTTCATGGGAAAGAAGTTTCCAAGCCAAAATAATTCTATTTTTATGACTTAGAACAAACACACATTAATTTATTTAACTTAGGTGCTGTACCTTTTAATTTAGGCCACATTCACATTGATTACTTTTACTAATTTATTTAAGGTACTTTTAACCAACCTTTTAAATTTAAGTAATAGAAAATTTTAAAAATGAATTTAGTGCAGAAGAGAGAGATGGACATTTGTCTCATCTCACTGTTTACTCACAAGTAAACTTCAGCAGATGATCTAACTACTTTGAGACTGGGAAACCCTGTATTTCAAATATTGAAAG